CTCCCTTCTCCAGGGACAGGGAAACTACTCGAGCAAGTCGAGTAACGATGGTATGTTTCTCCCCTGCAAGAAATTTATTCTACTTGAAAGTTTGTAGAACTGAACGATGAAAACACATCCTGCAGTGATCACGAGTCCTTGAAAAAGTCCCGCGCCATTACTCCCATGTCCCCGGCCCCGTGACGTAACACTTGCTTGAGTTCCTTCAAAAAAAGCCTTTCAAAAACGCGATTTTAGTCTTTTCAAACGAAGATGTGTTCGCACGTGCACGCTTGGCATGCATGTAGGGTCCTAGCCCTAGCACAACTCTTAAAACGCACACAAATGGCGTAAATCGATAGAGTTGTATTATTACTGTAATATTGACAAAGCAATGAAAGAGAGATAGAAAGGCAACTGCCTTCGATGAAACCAAACTATCTACTGGCCTAAAGCTCTAGGTTGAGAATGTCTTGGCCAGTAAGGAAAAGGGTGTACATGTGTAGTAATGACATAGTACAGTGACAGTGTGTATATGTCCTATATACAGATACGCTACGGTATAAATGCCTGGCGAAATACTAGGATGCATGATGGGATATATGCGTACAATCTGGAATCTGAACCGGAAGTAGCGTACACATTATAATTCCGGGAAATGGCCATAAAAATCAAAGTCACCGCTTATGGAAAACCCAGGAGTGAAAACGGAAAAGTTACAGGTATGGGAACTGCTAAAGTCACCACATTACCCCCCTCCTAGAGCACGACTCCATAGTAAAAAAAGGAAGAAGAAAAAAAATGTGGGTCGTGAGCGACCAGGAATGAGACTGTAGCAGGGACTGCAACACTACTCCAAGACATGTGCCGGCTTGAGGCGGTCAATGGAGACGGTTACCGGCCGACCCTTTACATCCAGCACAAAATATTTGGCAGATCGACGGAGCACAGCAAATGGACCATCGTACGGAGCCTGCAGAGGCCGCCGGACAGCGTCGTTGCGTAGGTATACCCGCTCGGCTGATGCTAAAGCGACTGGTAAATACCCACGTGCGTCGACGTCACGGGTCGGAATCGGCGTGACACTCTGCATCGCATCCTGCAGTCGGCGGAAGTAGTCCGCACCAGTGGATGGGATGTCGGACACCGGGGCGGAGGCACCGAGCAGTTGGCCTGGGAGGGGCAAGGAGGAGCCGTAGACCATCTCGGCCGAACTCAACTGGGTGTCTACCCGGATGGCAGACCGAATGCCGAGCAGAATGACCGGCAGATGGTCGACCCAGAAAGCCGGATCGGGTAGAGCACGGAGCGAGGCCTTGAGCTGGCGATGAAACCGTTCCACCATACCATTGGCCTGAGGATGGTAGGCCGTGGTATGGAGGTGTTGGCAACCCAAGGCCTGCGAGAGGTGGCGGAACAGGATCGACTCGAACTGCGCACCTCGATCAGACGTGATGGTAGACGGGATGCCAAAGCGAGCAATCCATACCGACAACAGGGCCTTGCATACTGATACGGCGGTAATGTCAGCGAGAGGCAGCACTTCAACCCAGCGGGTGCAACGATCAATGCAGGTGAACAGATATGTTGCCGATTGACACGTGGGCAGGGGACCGACCAAATCAACGTGGATGTGGGCGAATCGATCACCCATAGGGATTGGACATACCGGAGCTTTGGTGTGGCGGTGGATCTTAGCACGCTGACAGTCAGAGCAGGCACGGGTCCAGTTGGCGACGTCTGCATTCATGCCAGGCCATACGAAGCGATCCGCGACTAACTTGCGCGAAGCTTTTATTCCCGGATGAGCAAGCTGATGCAATGACTCAAAGGCGCACTGTCGGAAACCGGGCGGCAGGAACGGCCGGGGTTTGCCAGTGGACATGTCGCAAAACTACTGGGAGGGTGGCGGAGGGAAGAGTCACCTCACGGAACTGAAGACTGCAGTCAGGTTGGCCGCGCAGTTGGAGGAGTTCGGCATCCACGGCTTGTGCAGAAGCCAGCGCTGGGAAATCAACTGTCGGCGGTGGGGTGACTGCATGGACGCGCGATTAAGCGTCGGCAACAGGATTGCTGGGACCGGATTCATAGCGGACGTCAGTAGTGAACTCTGAAATGTATCCCAGCTGACGAGCCTCCCGCGGGAATGCTTGGAGGACGGAGAACGAATGGCATGGGTCAGTGATCGGTGATCGGTGAGTACATGGAAGGGACGGCCTTCCAGGTAGTGCTGGAAGTGCCTAATTGCCAAGTAGACAGCCAGCAGTTCACGGCCAAACGTTGCGTAGCGACACTCAGGAGCTGTGAGTTTCTTACTGAAGAAAGCGAGCGGCTGCCATTCCTCGTTCACGAACTGCTGCAAGACGGCACCCACACAAGTGTCCGAGGCATCGCACATCAAATTTAGTGGTGCGGACGGAATGGGATGCGTGAGCATCACAGCTGATGCGATTGCCGACTTAGCAGCGGCGAAGGCAGACTCGGTAGCGTCAGTCCAGGGGAAAGCAGAGGAATACTTAGGTTTACCTGCTAGCATGTCGGTGAGTGGACGAACCAGCTGCACTGCTTGGGGAATAAACCGCCGGTAGTAGTTTACCATGCCAAGGAAACGCCGGAGTTGCCTCAAACTTGTGGGCCGGGAGAACTCGTTAATGGCCGTGACACGATTAAGGGTTGGCTGGATGCCGTCAGCGGAAACAACATGGCTAGGAAACTCCAGTGAGTCGGCAGCAAACACGCACTTACTGGGGTTGATGACGTTTCCGTGATCATGCAACCATTGTAGGACTTGTCGAACATGCTGCCGGTTTGTTTCCAGATCCGGACTGGCGATGAGCGCGTCATCGGTGTACACATCGCAAAATGGTAAATCGCGCAGGATTTGGTCGATGAACCGCTGGAAGGACTGGGCCGCGTTGCGGAGGCCGAACGGCATGCGGGTGAACTCAAATAGCCCAAACGGGGTGATGATTGCTGTCTTAGGAGTATCCTCCTCGGCAACCGGGATCTGATGATACGCACGGATAAGGTCCAGTTTCGTGAAGTAGCGAGCCCCATTCAGATCTGCTGTGAAATCCTGAATATGGGGAATCGGGTATCTATCTGGGACCGTCTTCTGATTCAGTGCACGGTAATCGCCACATGGACGCCAGTCGCCATTAGGTTTAGGTACCATGTGCAGCGGACTGGCCCATGTGGACTGGGATGGCCGAACGATGCCCAAATTCATCATGTGCTGGAACTCACGCTTGGCGACATCAAGACGGTCCGGTGCGAGTCGGCGGGCTTTCGCAAATACTGGAGGTCCACTTGTCTCAATGTGGTGGCTGACGGTGTGCTTGACTGGCTGGTCATACCTGGGTGGCTGGGCGACCTCAGGGATATCCTCCAGTAATGAGGTGAACGCGGATGGTGCAGCAGGGGGTATAGTACTGATCGGTGGCTCAGGTGTGGCCACGCTGATCGAACCCAGAGCGTGCAAACTGGTCACTTCATCCCGCAACTCCTGGTGGGCGATGCTCACTTGCAGGTGAAAATGTCCAAGAAAGTCTGCTCCCAGAATGGGTTACGTTACGTCCGCCACAATGAATACCCATGTAAAATGCCGCCGGAGGCCAAAGTCCAAGGTCAGGGAACGTTGGCCATATGTCCGGATAGTGGTGCCATTGGCTGCATGGAGGGGAGTAAACTGTGCTGATTGACGTATGTCCGCCCTGGTTGGCGGAACAACACTCACAGCAGCTCCTGTATCCACAAGGTATAGAGCACCAGCAATCCGATCTCGGACATGTAGGCGGCTAGAGGTATTCGTACCAGACACTTGCGCCACTAATGTCTGGCTTGCGCGTTTCCCGGCCAATAGCTACAGGTATGGTCGCACTTCAGAGCCTTATCGCCAAACTTAGCATGGTAGCGGCAGAGGTGTGACTTGCGACTATCAGCACGTGCAGGTGAGGCCTGGCGTGAGCGCGCTGTGTACCGCTCAGGCGAGCTGGGTCGGGAGCGCGGACGGGGCGCAGACAACTTGTCCACTGCAGCGGTCAGTGCGGCAACCTGCAGCTGGAGGGCGTCTAACCGTTCCATGTGTTCCTCAGCCACTACTACTGCGGCCACGGGCGGAGGAGCAGAGGAAACTTCCATCACCCTATCTGCCATGGAGGCCAGGCTGGCGAGGTCCATCGTGCTGCTGGCGGAGGCCAACACCATCCTTACTGAGGCAGGTAGACGCTGCAGGAACAGTTCCCGCAGGAAACTATTGTCCAGCGAAGCACCTCCCAAGAGCTGCTGGAGTTTTCGAAGGAACTGGGATGGCTTGCAATCTCCCAGTTCCACGTCAGACAGGAGCTTGCGTAGCCTGGCTTGCTCGGAAATCTCGGTCCTTTTGATCAGCTGATCCTTTATCGTCGTGTACGGATTCAAGGCAGGAGGACGTAACACGAGATCTCTGATTTCCTGCACAAACTCAGGGGCCAAGGCGCTGACAACGTGGTCGAACTTAGTCCGCTCGGTCCGGATCTGCCGCGTATTGAACATCGCCTCAGCTTGGGCAAACCAAATGTGGGGGTCGTGGGGCCAGAACGGTGTCAGCTTGATGGCAACGGCATGAACGGCTGCTGGTTGCACTTGGTCTGTGTTCTGGCCAGGGCGTGGGCGCTGCTGTGCCGACAGAGACATAGAAAGTGCGTTAGCTCGGCCAAGGCCCGCACCTGTACCGCGTTGTGGGGTGACAGGACTCGACATGTTCAGATGGTGTGGACGGTACTGTGATATAGACGATGACAGACTCGATCCAGAACTACGAACGCGATCCGCGCACAAACGCAACACTGCAAAAAAATAGAACGGGGTCACCAATGTAGGGTCCTAGCCCTAGCACAACTCTTAAAACGCACACAAATGGCGTAAATCGATAGAGTTGTATTATTACTGTAATATTGACAAAGCAATGAAAGAGAGATAGAAAGGCAACTGCCTTCGATGAAACCAAACTATCTACTGGCCTAAAGCTCTAGGTTGAGAATGTCTTGGCCAGTAAGGAAAAGGGTGTACATGTGTAGTACTGACATAGTACAGTGACAGTGTGTATATGTCCTATATACAGATACACTACGGTATACATGCCTGGCGAAATACTAGGATGCATGATGGGATATATGCGTACAATCTGGAATCTGAACCAGAAGTAGCGTACACATTATAATTCCGCGAAATGGCCATAAAAATCAAAGTCACCGTTTATGGAAAACCCAGGAGTGAAAACGGAAAGGTTACAGGTATGGGAACTGCTAAAGTCACCACAGGTGTGTCAACCCGAGCAGATGCAACGGCAGTCACAATAGCCTCGTGTGTGATTCCACATGTGTGCCGCACTGGCTCACCTCTTCTTGTGCATTGTCGGATGTCTGCCTGTTTTGTTTTCTATCTGTGCATGTGCATGTGTGTGTGTGTGTGTGTGTGTGTGTGTGTGTGTGTGTGTGTGTGTGTCTCTCTCTCTCTCTCTCTCTCTCTCTCTCTCTCTCTCTCTCTCTCTCTCTCTCTCTCTCTCTCTCTCTCTCTCCCTCCCTCCCTCCCTCCCTCCCTCCCTCCCTCCCTCTCTCTCTTCCTATGCCTGTGTATCTTCCTTCGTGTGTTCCTTGTATGTTTGTCATCATCATTGTTGTTCTGGCATTGCTGTTTTCCTGTGTACGCAGGTGACTTGGACGCAATTGCTCCCATAATCTCTAATTTCTTCCTTCTGTCCTATGCCTTGATTAACTTCTCCTGCTTCAATGCCTCTTTTGCCAACTCACCCGGTAAGTGGAGGGGAGGGTTCATAGCTTTGCTGTACCCCCAACACCGACGGCCGTGCATACATTTGTAGGGCTGAAACAATCATACCGCTAAATCGTGTATCGATCGTTATGGGTGCAATGGATAATCATTGAGGCCGATTCACAGTACCACTTTTTGTGACGCCATTTTTCTTGTACGAATTATGCCGTATTTGACTTAGAGGGAGTCTATGTGTATTTCCATATGACTGTATTGATTTGGGTGAAAAATACTATGCTTTTCTGATTGTCCGCAAAGATATGCTATGCACCGTACATTTTGGGGAATGGTGCGTATCCGTACTGTGCCGGTGTCGCTGTGTTAAGTGGTGTGTTTGCCCAGCGCCTTGCGTTGAGCAGGGAAATTTGGCCACAATGCTCAAATTTCTTTTTGCGCTTGCTACTGGTTGTCTTGTGCTATTCCTGGCAGATTTTTGCTGCTGTTTCCTCTGCTACTCCTGCTCTTGTTGCTGCTGCTGCTGCTGTTACTGCTGCTGCTGCTGCTGCTGCTGCTGCTGCTGCTGCTGCTGCTGCTGCTGTCATGCCTTCTGCTGCTGCGACTAAGATCTACGCATTCGGTTTCGGTTCTTTTGTTGTTGCTATTGATTGTGGTGCGTATGCACTCTCTCTATCTCTCTCTTTCTCTCTCTCTCTCTCTCTCTCTCTCTCTCTCTCTCTCTCCCTCTCCCTCTCCCTCTCCCTCTCTCTCTCTCTCTCTCTCTCTCTCTCTCTCTCTCTCTCTCTCTCTCTCTCTCTCTCTCTCTCTCTCTCCCTCTCCCTCTCCCTCTCCCTCTCCCTCTCCCTCTCCCTCTCTCTCTCTCTCTCTCTCTCTCTCTCTCTCTCTCTCTCTCTCTCTCTCTCTCTCTCTCTCTCTCTCTCTCTCTCTCTCTCTCTCTCTCTCCTCTCTCTCTCTCTCTCGTATGTTGTTATTGGGTGCAGGTTGGCGTCCGGCATTCAAGTACTACAACAGCTGGATGGCATTGCTTGGTGCTGTGCTGTGTGTTGCTGTGATGTTTATGATCAACTGGTGGACCGCTCTCATCACCATCGTCATCGTCTCTTTCCTTTACAAATACATTGACTACAAGAAACCAAGTAAGCAGCTTTGCACACTCCACACCTGCTTCCACTGCACATTTCTGATTCGATGTCCGAGTCGAACTTCGTGTGTCGTTAGTGATATGTGTGCATTGCTGGTTGTATGAGCTGAATCGATTGTGAACTGTGTCAAGTAGCTTCTAAGCTCGAACTGATGTGGTCGAATGTACGTGAATTTGAAGAATTGTGTCTACATGTAGTGAGAGGACGCGTTTGGTTTAATACAACCTAGAACAGGGTTCACCAGAACAGCGCGTTTGGCTGGGACTGCACCTGTTCTGGATCGACCAGAACATGTTCTGCTTGCTCTAGCCTCGAGTCCGGAGCAGCCAGAGCAGTTTTACTTTTTCACCGTGTGACCTAGCGGGAACGTTGATTTTGGTCCGAAAGGATCATGTGAATAGGAGTATGCTTTTGTGTTGCATTTGGCATGCACTCGTTGTGT